ACACATCAATGTTTCTCTCCCTCTCTTTCCCCCTCCCTTCCCCTCTCTCTAAACATAAATAAAATCTTTTTTTAAATAAAAAATAGAAGAATTATCATATTGTGAGATACAGAAAATATATACTGATCTCTGTCCCTGGTTCCTGGCACAGAACTCCAAAAACTCTTGTGATTTTCTGGGTGATAGGAGTGTCTTTTGTTTTATCGAGGCAACTTTGGGTGGGCTCCTGGATGAGGGCCGGTCACCAGAAAGACCAAGCCATGGTTAGAAGCTTGGGATTTTCAGCTCCATTCCTCAGTTTCCAGAGAGGGGAAAGGGGATAGAAATGGAGGTTATAATTGATCATGCCTATGTAAGGAAGCCTCAAAAAAATCCCAATAGTACCGAGTTCAGGAAGCTTACAGGTGAACACACCTACACCAGAAGGGTGATGTACCCATCTCCATGGGACCAGAAGCTCCTGTGGTTGCAACAATCCCAGACCTGGCCCCGTGTATCTCTTCCTCTGGCTGTTTACCTCTATCCTTTATCATAACCTTTAGTAAACTGGTAAATGTGTTTCCCTGAGTTCTGTGAGCCACTCTAGCAAATAATTAAACCTGAGAAAGGAGTTGAGGGAACTTCCAGTTTGTAGCCAAACTGGACAGAAGTTGTAGGTGACCTAGGGACCTGCTACTTTCCATTGGCATCTCCCGGTAGATTGTGTCAGAACTGGGTTAAGTTGTAAGACATCATCCAGCTGGTGTCAGAGAATTGCTTCATGTGGGAAGAACCTCCAAACAGCTGGTGACAAGAGTGTCACAAGTGTTCTGTGTAATGGTACACACAGATGAAAGAAGGACAGGAAAGAGAGACATGTTTTTGATGCCTATGCTTTTGGTATCACAGTCCTTCCCTACACGAGAGGGAAAAACTAGAGTTTCTCCCTTACACATATGATGCAGCAATCTCATTTTGGGTAGAGGGGATATCCAAAGAAATTCAAAGCAGGATCTTGAAAACATATTTGCACATCTATGTTCACTGTAGCATTATTCACAACAGCCAAGAGGTAGAAGCAACCCAAATTTTCCATCAATGAATGAATGGATAAACGGATAAACAAAATGTGGCATATACATACAATGGAACATTAACTGGCCTTTTAAAAAATGGAAATCCTGTCACATGCTACAATATGAATAAACCTTGAGGAGTGAAATAAACCAGTCACAAAAAGGCAAATGATGTATGATTCCACTTATATGAAGTTTCTAAAGTAGTCAAAATAGTAACAGAAGATATTTAGAATGGGGGTTGCCAGGGACTTGGGAGAAGATAAATGGGGAGCTGGTGTACGATCTCACTTATATGCGGAATCTAAAAAAGCTGAACTCATGGAAACACAGGATAGAATGGTAGTTGCCAGAGGCTGGGGTGTGGGGAAATGGGAGGTGTTAGTCAAGGATACAAACTTCCAGCTATAAAATAAATTAAGTTCTGAGGATCTAATGTATAGCATGGTGACTATAGTTGACAACACTGTATTATGTATTTGAGAGTTGCTAAGAGAATAGATCATAAACCACACACAAAGGTAATTATGGAGATGATGGATGTGTGAAAACCTTTGTGTGATAATCATTTTGCAATATATACATGTATCAAATCTTCACACTGTATACTTTAAACTTACACAATGTTATATTTCAATTACATCTCAGTATAGTTTGGGGAAAAATATTGTGTAGTCCATTATCATGAACCAGAATAAAGTGCTGGTGGACATATACAATAAAAAAGAAGAGAAAGGAAAGGTAAAGGGAAAAAAAGGAAAGGGGAAGGGAAGAAGGAGAGAAAAAAAGACAGTTGGTGTTCACTGGGCATAGAGATGCAATTTTGCAGGATAAAAAGGTTTTATAAATCTTTTGCTCAATGTTTAGTATATTTAACTCTATTGAACCATACACTTAAATTAAAAATGGTTAAGTTGATAAATTTACATTATATGTTTTTACCACAATTAAAAAATTTTTTTTAAGAAATCAAACTATCTATATAAAAAACATAATATATTCATTTTATTTTCTAGGAGATTCAATAATATAACATTTAATGCCTTTTATGCAGTTTCATGCTCTCAGAAAAGTATAACTGCAAGCTGAGTGGACTTATCTCATGTTTTTTTATCTCTTCACAGGAGCAAATAGTACTGATGATTCTCACTTTTTAAAAAACCTCACCTGCTGACTTCTCTCAATAATTTTACTTGTTCTCCTACCTCTCTGCTACTTCCCTTTCAGCCAGCTTGGGTTGTTTTCCATCACCTGTTCCTTAATGTTGTATCTTCTACAATCTGTCTTTAGTCCTCTTTGTTCTCTCACCTGCCCTGTATAGCTCATGGCTCCAGTAATTATGTCAGGGCAAATGACTTACAAATCATCACCAGTTCTGACTTCTTTCCCAAACTTGAGTAAAATATTTCCCCAAACCTACATATATATGGAGGTCTGTCCAGAAAAAGTCAAAACATTGTTAATATAACAAGAATGATTTGCACAACATTGATATAACCCACTAGCCAAAAAGAGTGGACTGGAACTCACATGCGTGAACAATGGTGTTCACTATACTTCACTATACTAGTCAATGGGGGCAACAGACATCATTGAATGAGCATGTGTAGTGTGAGGCTATTCCATTCAAAATGACTGAGCAAGCAGAGCAACAAATCTGCATCAAATCTTGTGTTAAGTTTGAATATTCTTCCACAGAAACTATTCGCATGATTCAGAAAGCCACAGCTCTGGGCAACTGGTGATTGCCAACTTTATCATAACAACACACCCACTCATGTATCACACCTTGCACAGGGTTTTGAGGGAAAACATCAAATTACCCAGGTGACTCAGACCCCCTACCACTCAGATTTAGCACAATGCAACTTCTGGCTTTTCCCAATATTAAAACTACCTTTGAAAGGGAAGAGTTTTCAGACCATCGATGAAATTCAGTAAAATATGACAGGGCAGCTGATGGTGATTGGGAGAACAGTGTGAGGTCCCAAGGTGTCTGCTTTGAAGGGGACAGAGGTGTCATTGCCCTATGTACAATGTTTCTTGGATCTTGTATCCTCTTCAGTAAATGCTTCTATTTTTTCTTATTACGTGGCTGAATACTTTCTGGACAGACCTTGTATATGTATGCATAGCTATCACACAGGTAACTATATAGAATTAGTTTCCAAGTCTGGTGCATTCTATCTCTGTAAAATCTCTCAAATCTGTACCTTCCTCTACCTTTCAAGCAGATAAGATCATTACCTAATTCCTTCATTCATCAAACATTTATTCAGATATAACTACCTAATACTGTACTAGGAACTAGAAATACAAAAATTCATAGCATAACCTCTGCTCTGAAAAAGGGCACTTTAATTTACATGTCCTAAGTTATCACAGTTGCTAGTATCAACACAAACCGCTGCAGAGGAAGAGATTATACATCTGCTTGCTCTGGCCAAAAAAATTTGAGTGCATCTGATATGAGCCATTTCCAAACAGAGGTTTATCCTAATTTAAATATATTTGATAGACAAATTCCCTGGTATGATACTTAAGGGCCTAAAAATGTAGCCCCTACTTACTTTTTCAATTTCATCAACCAAACCATACCCACTAAGCTAGTGATCCCAAATTTATTCCACAGCTGTTAAGTGCTATTCAAGGAAAAACAGAGGGTTTTGGTCAAATGAGATTGGAAAATGCTCTTTGAAACAAAGTTAAATAGACCACTTTACTATAGGGCTTCTTAAAATCTTTAATATGTTAATGTGCTTTGCAAAATCCTTAGAGGAGAATTTATTACACAGTCTTTCCCAACCTCCCTGTTCTAATCACATCAGACCCCTCAAAACTGTTGGTATTCGCAGTCAACTTAGTTCCTACCACTGTTTCTTTGTTCACACTCTGTCTTCCACTCCAAGTCCACACATCCAAGACACGCCCACCTTTCAAATGCCCTCATTCTAAAAAGTTTTCTAGTTTTTCAACTTACAAAGCAGTCTCTATCCTTTTTGAGTTTTACTAGTCTCACTCAAATTCAGCCTCCATATTGCTTCTAGTAATCTTTTTAAATGCAAACCCATTATGGGTTGGCCAAAAAGTTCATTTGGTTCTTTCCATGAGATGGCTCTAGTAGCACTTAGTTCTCTTTAACTTCATTTGAAACAATTTTGTTAGATTGCATTATGACAGCTGTCACAGCAGCTTGCATTAAAAAAAATCAACTTACTGAAATTAATGAATTTTTGTGAAGCCATTTTAATATTGAAGATGGAGGAAAATAAGCAACATTTTCAATATATTACACTTTATTATTTCAAGAGAAGTAAAAACACAACTGCAACGCATCTTGCTGGATGATGCTCCATGGTCAGAGAGACCAGTTGAAGGTGACAGCAATCAAACAGAGACATTAATTAAGAACACTTGATGTTATACCATGCAGGAGATAGCCAACATACTCAAAATATCCAAATCAATAAAGTTGTCAGTGAAAATGAAAAATGTGTCATTCACAGAAAAAAGTAAACAAACTTTTTCGCCAACCCAATAATTTAGATACTTTTCCTTTGTGCTTCCATAATACTCTAGCACAGCAGTTCTCAACCAGGGTTGATTTTGTGCCCCAGGTGACATATGACAATGTTTACAGACTTGTTTTTGTCATATTTTAGAAGAGACAGTTCTTTGTTGCGGGGAGCTGTCCAGTGCATTGTACTGTTTACGACCATCCAAGGCCTCTGCTCACTAGATGTCAGTAGCACCACCACTTCCCAAGTCCTGCCCACTGTGACAATAAAAAATGTCTCCAGACTGGCAAATGTTCCCTGGGAAGGAAATCACCACTGATATACAGCATGCTTGTAAAGTAAATTAATAAATTAATGAATTACTTTTTATTATAATATTGAAAGTAAAAAAGTCTATCAAAGGACTAAGAAAGAAAGAATAATTTACCTTTTCTGCTAATTCTTCTGCTGTTATCTTTGGGTCATATGGAATAGGATCACCTAAATAGGTACGTAACTTCACTGGAAAACCTCCATACATTGGAGCAAATGGATAGCGGAATTTTTCATAAAGCCACCTAAATAACCCTGTTTTAAAGTAAACAAAATCATTTAATTGGTTACATATTTTGAGCATGTAACTACAAACTCTCAAATCAATCATGTAAAGTTTAGAGGAAGGTGGCAAACAATATCACCTCTTGGTAATTTTTTTTAAAGTTGAGCTTTTCCTCAGTTGTAATAAATGTGCATAAAGTTAATAGAAGAAACTGGAGAGTAATGAGGGAGCTTATGGGTACTCTCTACTTTCTGTTCAATTTTTCTGTAAACCTAATAATTCTCAAAAAAAGGCCTATTGATTTTTTTAAAAATTACCTTTTAAAAGTATGAGAATTTTAAAGGCAAACAAAGTACTATTACTGCAAAACAAAGGGTAAAGCCTGAAACCAAAAACTAGAAACTAAAAAGTCTAGAGACTCAAAAATATGTAATTTAGCCCTGGCTGGGCGGCTCAGTTAATTAGAAGTTGGTTGGAACATCATCCCATACACCACAAGGTTGCAGGTTTGAGTCCTGATCAGGGCACATTGGTTGCGGGTTCAGTTCCCAGCTGGGGCATGAACAGGAGGCAATCAATCAATCTTTCTCTCATGTGGATGTTTCTTTCTTTCTCTCTCTCCATCCCCTTTCCCTTCTCTCTAAAATTAATAAATGTAACCTCAGGTGAGGATTTAAAGAAACCCATTTTTAAAAAAACTAAGCATGATTTTTTAAAAACATATGTGATTTACATGAATAAAAGAAGAAAAAGTGGAAGCATAAAATAAGCTCACAAGCATGAGACCAAAATGCATCAATAAACTAAGTAAAAACTAAAATATTATTGTAAATTAGGACAACCATGACAAAGCAAAGAATTACTAAAACTAATGATAATGTATATATAATTTAGCAAGATTAAAAGTAGTAATAATGCAAAATAAATGGATACTTTAAGACTAAGTTAAAAAAATAAATCCAAAAAATGCAAGCAACATAGAATACATAATCATTAATTACACTGAAAATTTAAATCACTGTTTACATATGGAAACCCCGTAAGACCCAGAGTAAAACTAAAAAAAAAGTCACTAAGCACTAATTTTTGATATTCAACTACCAAAGTTAAAAAAAAAATTAAAGCAGTATAAAAGAATTTTGAGATCACTTTGCAATCAAAGAAGCAAAATTAGGAATAATTTCTGGTATGCAACTTAAATTCTGAAGAATGATCTGTGAGAAATTAAAATAAATAATAACTTTTGTTAAAGAACAAAGGTTAAATGTCTCATCGATCTGCCCTTCCACTTTAAATTTGCAAAGAAAAAAGAAAAAAAGACCTATAAAACATAAAGGAATGTCAACAATAAAGCAATGTTGGGCAAAAAAGAAATGAGAAATTTAAAGTTCTTCAGGAAGGGATTTGTATGAGGATACAAACACTAACAATATAATGCTAGGGATATAACACACAGTCAACCAAATGTCATGTATAAAGCTTACAGTAAAAAAAATAAAAGTACAAAAATTTCAAAAGAGAAAGAAAACAGAGACATTGCACAGGAACAGCACTCCTAAAACTAGATTTGGAGCTTTTTTTGTTACTGCTCAATTAAAGTCAGCAAAAAGAAGCAAGTGTATCATGGTTCAAAATATTTTAAAACAAACAAATAAGAAAGTAACAAATCAAGAAATAAAACCAAGGCAAATTATATTCCTTAGGTTATTCACCTTAATTCAGTATCATATTGTCATCCATTGTTAAAGCTGCAACTTCTTCAGGGGTGAGTTAGGAAGATGTTCTAAGTTATATGTAAATCTGTCCTAACCTTCAACAACATGTTTTAATGCAAGTAAATTACATAATTTACTCTGAAATTTTAAAAAGTCCATGAAAAACAAGCTTCAGTATGTGTAAGAGACAAAATTCCAACATTTAAGGACTGCCATCACTTAGAACCAGTTATTTAGCTTTTAAATAGGAAAACATCTACATTTTGAATCCTTCATGAGTTCAAAAACCCAAATATTTAAAATATTATATTATGAAAACTTTAAAAAGAAACCAAAAAATAAAATAAAATATTGTATTATACATTTTACAGCATAATAGAAAAACCATATGAACCAGAACTTACTTGTTCCTCCAAGTGATCTAAATCCTTCTCGAATATTTTGTGTAAACATAGGAATAATGGGCTGAAGAGAAAATTTGAATTAAAAAGTGAATATATTAATCCATTCAATGTCTCTATTGAGTCATTAATATAAACTTTTGAGGGGTTATTTAAGATTATGAAAATAAAGTACTTATAAAATAAAGGTACACTTTTATCACTAGGTTGCTTAGAGTAAACTTGGTCATTTGTAGAAATAATTTAATAAAATAAAATAAATGTTGAAAATTAAATTGGTTTTAGTGGGTTACTGAATGCTATGCTCACTGAAGAAGAAGTTAGAAGACAAAGAGTCTCACTACTGGGAATTTATATAAATGACAAGTTTTGGCAACATGCTGTCACAAAATTAGTAAAACATCATTTTTTTGTGAGCTTATTAAATCTAAAAGTGTTCAACATCAATGAAAAGGATAAGACTCACCACACAAAAAGGAAAACCATATATAAAAGAATTCTTCACATCATTAATTTTAGAGGATTTCTTCTTACAAGTTTATGGTTCTCATTTTTCTATGAATGTCAACAATAAGTAAAACTTGATAAATGAAGCCCGTAAGTAAATATCATACAACAATGGGTAAAGGAGCAAAGGGTCATGTGAGGAGGTTATGCCACAGTAAAACCGAAGTAGATGAAAAACTGAACACTTTAAAACATACACAAAAAATACCAAGTGAAATGGTTTTAGAACAGAAAAAACTGGGGAAGGCAGCAAGTGTCATTTGACTTATAATCTGTATTTGCTTAATACAGAAATACTTGACTTGGTGAGCAAGGTTTGAGATATGTAAATATGCTGACATTTAAAAAGCCATTCCTATTCAGCTTTGAAAAAGAGTAAAATATGGTGGACTGAAGGAAAGAGACTATAGGTATAGCTTTTTTCATAAAACTCATTATCTCACATATAACTGATCTTCTATTTATTGTATCTTTCCCCTCCCCGAGAAGGACTCTGGGTAGCACATTGTTTGTTCACTGCTGTATCCCAACATCTAGAACACACGTGACAAACACAAGGCCTGCAGGCCAAAGCCAGCCCAGCACCCTGTTTCTACCTGGAACAGAGTGAGTGCTAAAAGGAAGTGTGATGGATGAACTAAGGAAGGAATAAATAAAAAGAACAGAGAGATAATGCTTTCAATGTATTAGTCCATTCTCTGAACATAAAAGGTCAGATACAGGCAGCAGTAATCTTAACACCAGTTAGGAAAAAGAGAGGTCATGTAAAGAAAAGAAGTCAGTATGTGTGTAACAGGGTGCAGCCAAGAGGGGGGGGCCCAAGTAGGGATTTGTAATGGGGTCCAGAACTCAAGTTGTCCAGGAAATATTAGAAAAATATATATAGGACGTCCTCACTCCCACCAGTCTGAGCTGGGGGCTAGGACACATGTAGCAGAGCCATCCAGAGCTGTTTTGCATAGCAACAGCTTTGCAGTTAACCTCTGGCATGGTCATTTAACATATCTATAACCTTTAACTGGTTTCAAAGATATGTTAAATAGCTGTGGTTGTGCTCTAAGCCAGGGGGATGGAAGTGACTTCCACCCAAGATGTAACAGGGAGGAAACTCCCCCAGGTTACAGTGCCTGTGTGAGAGCTTGGGGATAACTGGCTCCATGCCTTGGGGCCACAACTGCCCAGACTTATGATGGCAGCCCAGTAAAGCTGGAAGAATATAGGAATGCTAGCAGGTGTAATTGACTGTGGAAGGAATTGGAAATGGGGCTGCAGAGAAAGACTGGCGCTAGGATTTAAACCCCAGGCATGCCAGCCATGCCAAGAGAGAACCACGCAGCTTTGGCAGAGTAGGGACCCCACAACTTCGGCAAGAGTGAGGACCATGTGGCTTTGGGGTGCTCCCTTTTGCCACGTGGCTTAGGAAGCAGGAGAGACTTTGCCTGGAAGAAAGGGGGTGAAAGGACTCTTGCTGGTGAGCCATGAGAAGGTGCCACAGGACTCTGGATTAACTGGAGATCATGGCAGAGACACAGCTGATGGTGCCAGGTGCCCGAATCATGGACTTCTACTTCTTTTCCTGAGATACAGTACGCCGAGACTAGAGCAGAGGGAGAAGGAAGGACTGTGTGCAGCTGTGGGTATCCTAAAGGACTTTAATACTTTAATGAAGACATTAAGTCACTACTCTAAGTCTGTATAGCTTTAAATAAATATTTCCTTTCCTTTTCACAATTCTCTGACATTGAGAGATGTCTTTCCTCTGGTGGTGGGCATAGCGGACCTAGTGGGGGCTTTTTTTTTTTAGTAATAGTGTATTGTACAGCCCCCTTAGCGCTGTTCTGTAATGTGTAGAAGGAGAACTCTTTCGCACTGTTAGTGGGAATGCAGACTGGTTCAGCCACTATGGAAAGAAGTATGGAGATACATAAAAAAATTAAAAATGGATCTGCCTTTTGACCCAGCTATCCCACTTCTGGGAATATATCTGAAGGAACCCAAAAGACTAATTCGAAAGTACATAAAGCCCTATGTTCATTGCAGCATTATTTACAATCACCAAGATATGAAAGCAGCCCAAGTGTCCATCAATAGATGAGTGGATAAAACAACTACAGGGCATTTACACAACAGAATACTAGTGAACTGTAGGAAAAAAGAAAATTTTATCCTTTACAACAGTGTGGATGGACCCAGAGAACATGATGCTAAGTGAGATAAGCCAGTCAGAGAAAGACAAATACCATATGACTTCACTCGTATGTGGAATCTAATGAACGAACTGCACTGACAAGGAAAATGGGGACAGACTCATAGATGGAGAGCAGGATGACTGCTAAGGGTGGTGGGAGATAAGGGGATGGAGAGAATAAGCAAAAAGGAAAAAGGACTCATGGACATGGACAACAGTGTGGTGGTTGCTAGGCGGAGAGGACTATAAGGGGACAAAATGGAAAAAAATGTAATGAAGATTAAATTAAAGAAAAAAAGTCAAATGAAGGATTTAAAATTCAATGGAGTTACTTCACAAAGCAAGTGGACAAGACAGAGTACACTGATGCTGTTGTAAAATATTCAGATTTTGATCTACGAAACCATCACTAGTTTTATAAAATAAAATGATAGCTGAAATCTTAATGTCTTAAGTAGTTATGATGTTAGAATTAAGAATTTAAAATGCCCAAGGAACAGCAACCTTTCAGCTCATACATACGCCATTTTGCCTTCTCTAACCAGTTCTGCTGGATTTATGTCTCCTGACTGACATGAACCCCAAAGTTCGTATTGAAGTGTGCACTATTTAAACACTCTTCAGGTAACATATCATCCTTTAAATAGCTAACTTTTCAGAAGCTGGACATTTCTAGAACCTACTAAACAGGAGAAAGCTTACTCTAGCAGGCTCAGTATTCCAGAGTACATTTTGGGGACATTTTTCCTAAATTTGCATTCAAGCTACAGCCTTAAAACTACAAATGTTACCTTGTTACAACTTGATGTTGTAGTACAATTATTCATTCCTTTCCTTGTGCATACTTTGTCTACAAGGTAGTTGCATAAGTAACCTAGCACTGCATTCTGTTTACATGTATACATGTGTCTCCTTATGTATGCATTTGCACACATGTACAAAAGAGAATGTGTATTTTGTTAAAATTGTTCTTGGAGAATCAGTCTCATAGCCTTGGAGTCTTAACTTTGCCATTAAAAAAAGTGGGAACCACTGGACAAGTTACTTACCATGTCTAAGTCTCAGTTTCATTATGTTAAAATGGGACTACTAATTATCATATCTCAAAGGTTTCTTTAACAGGTTGAAATAATACATATAAAATTTTTATTGGAACAAATACTATTTTCTTTTACATCTGTTATTTATTTTCCAACTAAACAGGCTAATATTATTCCAACTTATTTAAAGATGAAGTTACCTCAAAATTCTTATTCAAGTCATAATTCTGAGGAATTCACAAAGAGTGATTTTATACTATATCCAAAAGCTGTAACTTTCAGATGAATCTTAAATATTTTCCAAACAATATTTTGTGAGCTTGCATTGATGATCTAGGCTTTTTTGCTTTAATTTTGGTCACCAAGTCACAATTTAAATGTAGTTAATACTGTAACAATAGTCTTAAATTTTTGGCCAATGTTTATGATAATTCTGTGAGGCCTGTGGAGGAGTTTTCCAGTCAGGATACTTACGACGTTGACAACTATGCCCATATATAACTGAAAGACTTCCCTCACGTATGGGGAAGGCCCCTCTAATCTCAAGGTCAGCAGACTCACTGTGAAATGCAGTCAGTGATGGCAACAGCACTGGTTGCCTGCAGTCCTGAACTGCGTGCTCTGCTTCTGCCTTGCTGTGTGACCCGATCCCTCCATCCCTTCATCTCTCTGTGCCTGTGTTTCCTCATCTGCAACATTGGAATAATTACATGTCACCTACTTACTATACAGGAGTACCAACATAAAGCCTTTAAAGGTACTACAAAAGGTTGGGGTGGTACAAGACTTAACAAACTTACAGTGCTCCTTTGTTTATCAGCAATGTTAAAGATTTTGGTTTATAAACTTGTAAAAGGCTGCTTCTTAAATTTTCTTGAGTTTCATACAAAAACTTTAAATTATATATATTATCTTAATTATCTAGAAACGCTTTCAAGGGTTGGGGAAGGATTTTCTTTCTCTATATAATTTCTTTCTTTCAGGCCTTCTTCCAGGTAATGTTCTTTAAAACTGTTAACAATGAGAAATTAGAATCCCATGATCCATTTATATAATTCCAAACCTATTTGACATTTTTATCTTAAACTTTATTAGAATTCTTTCAATATTTAAATGTGAAAATTGAACTATTTTTGAATAGAGCTTAGCTTCTGTCATTGCTCAATTATATATTATACATCCTTCATTTTTATACAACTGTGTATATATCCTTCTGTACTCTATATTATTTATATAGCCTAAGGTTTTGTTTTCTACATCAGTGCTTATGAATTTCTGGTAAATTGTTGGGAGCCACCCTACCTTATTTCAGGAGCTGAAACCCACCATGGCTAAGGCTGAGTGAGCGACCTTCGGACCATAACCCACAAAGGAGACAAAGCTTATCTCCCTGGCAGGAGCACCGCTTCTGCTCCTTTTTCCATAACTGGCCCCCAATGCTTGATCAGTTAGCCAATGACGGGTAAGATTCCCCAAGCAGGGAACAACCTAAGACAGGCATGATCACGTGGTGACCCCAGGGAAGGACTTGGGGGGCTATAGCAAAAGGGGGTGATGGACCCTTGCCCCTCGGTTTTGACAAAGCCTGAGTCTTCATTCCGTCTGCAAGAAGTCTCCTAATCTCCCGGCTGCTTTACTTCTCCTACCTCACTTAAGTCTGAAACAATGACAGAGGGCAATGCAGCCCTGTGCTGGAACGAGCGCATTCCCCCAGGTGATCAGGCCTGAGAAAGAATACATAGACCCCTGTGAAACTTGCTTTGCTAAGAATGCTCTCAACTAAATGATAAGGGTCCAAGCAGAAAACGAGTTTGTTTCCCAAAGTTTTATAGCACTTTAGCTAACAGACCCTGACTCAAAACAGGCCTCAGAGTTCTCTGTACGCTATCTATTGTTTGATCCTTACTGCCTGATAATAATTAACGAACTTTACCTGTATTCCTGTGGTAATTAAACCCAATAAAGCCTGTCCAGACAAGGGTGGATGCACTCTCCCCTTGAGAGAGTGGCCAGGCCACTCTGAGGTGCTCCCGCCTCGAGGGAGTAGCCGTGCCGTCCATTGTCCTCCACAGGACTCAGTAGTCCAGTAATCCATGTGAATGTATCTTATCTCATCCATAATGCTGCGGACACTGTAGTCAGTGTCCGAGTCAGAAAATAAAATGTGCTATAAATTAATTTTCTATATCACTGATATTGTTAACATAAAATTGAATTCAAAGCCTCCTTTCTAGAAACTGTACTTGAACAGTAAAAAAAAAGTTTTAAAAAAGGCTCCTTTCTAGTATTATTTAACATTGTATTAAAAAATCAATTTAAGTTAACAAATACAAATAGCCTACTGAGTGTCAGTCATTATACTAGGGACTTAGAATATAAAAAGATAGCCTGTCCTCAGACAGTTTATAATCTACTACAGGACAGTAGTATTTAAGTTTTTATGTTGTGTTTTTTATGTTGTATTTAATATTTAATATTTAATATTAAACACTTGGGCAAGTCCATTAACTCTTATACTAGGACCACACTATTAAAGTACTATACAGTAATAACTTACTTCTAGGAGTTGCATATACATGTGTACAGGAGAGAATAGAGCTCAATGCATTTGAATTTACTGCAACTCTGCAATTAAAAAATGTAGAGAAAACTTTCACTCTTCTTCAAATATTGACCTTGGGCTAGAATAACTTATCCATTATGTTTTACTTTTTGAATCAACAATCTGTATTTGCAAGATGAACGGGCAAGCTGAGGGTGCAGACTGATCTCCCTGCATGGCAGCAGTGGGCATGAAAGCCTGAAACGTGAATGCACTGGCAGCTCTCTCTGACTGACTGGCCTAGAAAAAGGACACACCTTGTCCAGGGTACTGTGATTTCTTTTTCTAACAGACAATCTAAAATTAAAACAAACAGAAAACAAAGAAGAAACATTCCATAAGTAATAAATGTTTCATAGGATAAAGTGCAACATGGAGACCAAAAAGCTGAGAAATACTTTCCAAAGCAAAGGAAAAGAATAAAATGGCATTCACATTTTTCAATCTACTAAGTAGAATAATTACAGTGAATCCCAGAGGATCATTTAATTTTACTGACAAATTCATTTGTAGTCTTTTAAAAATATCTAAATTACACCAATATCTATTTCTCAGTTTTATTCATACTGTTAGATAATTTTATGACATTTTTATCACATTTCCTGACACAAATGATGAGTCACATATTATTTGAGTCTTACTGTTATATAAATTGGTCACAGAAAAAAGAAATGCAATGAAACCAACCAATAACCATCACTGAAATATGCCAACTCAATCATACAAAAGGATTAAAATCCATAGAAGTGGACTGCTTATTACTTATGAAAACAATGATATCTAAAGGAGTACAAAGAATTTTACAAATCTGATTAAAACACTGTATTTAAAAATGTAAGATAAAATTTTGCTGGATATTTGCCATCCACAGGAACATTTCTCTATAGTTAACTCTCTTTTTAAGAGTTGTCTACACTAATTTTTAAAGTACTTCAATGACACTATATAAATTCTTACATATTTTGGCTCACTATTTAAGCATTTATTATAAATTCAACCTAGCTTTACTTTAGTAATTAGCTTTATACAACTCACCACTTTTGCATCAATTGCAACCTGAGCGAAGCCTTTACGATTACCCCATATGATGTTGTAGGTTTCATCACTAAGTAGGGCTTCCCGAACTCCACCTGGTGAAATAGCTAACAAGTGACCACTCTTCAGAATTTCAACACATTTTTCTCTTGGTCCATGTAGAGCACAAAATACATCAAGCAATAAACTAAACCCTGTAAGAAATATTAGCATGAATATATATCTTAAGTACTTCTTGTCCAGTTCTTCAAGAGCAAACATCTCCACAACCTACAAAATTTACCATGGATACTTAAATCAGTATATTCCTTTTTACTTTTTAAAAAGCAACAAGAACTCTCAAGTTAACATAAAATTAATATTGCTAGTAAAGTTATAGCTATGTCCTATTCATCACTGACTACTGATCACCTTCTTAGTGATCACCTACTACTCTGACCAATTTACATATTCAATTCTTAATTAAAACTCACAAAAACCTTGAAAAACAGGGATTCTTATCCTAATTTTACAGATGAGGAAAAGTTGGCTCAGAGAGTAAGTAGATTTCTCAAAGTCACACACCAAGCAAATGGCAAGGCAGAGATTCTGTTCCAGATGTCAGCTAATTCAAAGTTCCTCCCACTGCGTCTCATGGCTAAACACTGTGTACAGTATTTATTAGAGCAACCAGAAATGATAGCTCATTAGTAATTACAAATCCAGCAACTGTGTACAAATACTGTGTACAGTATTTATTAGAGCAACCAGAAATGATAGCTCATTAGTAATTACAAATCCAATCTTCCATTAACCCTTTAAGAAAGAAAACCACTTAAGAGAGTGTGAATCTGACTATGCTTAGCCCTACCAAAATTGGCAAGCCATAATCAAATCTACTGAAATTAAATGTTAGATGGTAATTCCAAAATTACATTTTTATGTCAATAATAATGGCAAAATCATTCAGAGTTTCCAATAAAGTGAATGTTTAACTGAGGAATAGTTAGTTCCAGGTGTTAATATTATACAAGTTTTCAAATTACAACTATTTATGGATAGAAAAACACAATCCTGTCAAGCAGTTAAGTATTTTAAGCAAATCCGAAACCGGAACTTTAGCAGACTGCCGGTAGTATACACTGTTCCTCAAGACCGCGAAAGGGAAATGGGTAGTGAGAACGGTGCAGCCTGACCCACCTTCTCTTAAGTTTAAGGACCGGAAGCAAGATTATAAATATTACTAAAATTGAAATAATTTTCCCCTATATTACATTAAAAGCCCACTGATTTAACAAGATGCATTTCCATAATAAATGAATGAACAGGGAAGGTTTTTGAATTATAAGACCATAAATGGGAAAAAATTTATAAAAGTGAAAAGCTAAATAAAAATATTCATAATCTATTATGTATAAAAAGAAAAAAAGGAAGCACCCTAATATTCCATAAGATAAAACCAGGTAAGTAAATATTTTAGTCCTGCATTAAAACCATTCTTTGTTTTTAAAATAATTTTTAAATATTCTTCATAAAACATGGTAAAATGGTAATGCTAACATTAATTTTTTAAAGAGAAGAAAATAGCTTGTATAATATGTGCATATGTGAATTACAAATGAAATAAATCAAAGGGCTAACTGGTTATGTTAGTGTGGCAAGATTATAATGATGTTCTTTTATTCTCTGGTTTTAAGATTTTATTATATAGTGATCATTATTATTACTTTCTAAAGAACAACCTTTTATAGCCTATTTAGTTTATATACAAAGTACAAATGACTTTTGAGTGACATAAGGACACCCAAAACATTAACCATGTCTATAAAAGGCACTGAGTATATTGTTGTTTAATTCACTGCTTGGTGTTCGTCTGTCTGTGTGGTTTATTATTCCAGAGAACATACTATAAGCTTTTTGGCTTGTTTCTGGTGATTCAGTGACAAAAGAAAATAAGATTAAATCTCAATGAGTTTATGTTATAATGATTTTTTATTAAAAAAACTATTGTGTTTGAAACCATTTGGCTAATTAATCTTTTAAAAAAGGTACAAAGTCTTTATGAACAGATTAAAAAGAATGTGGTCCTCAATCGTAAGAGTTATAAGTGTACCAGGAAAGTAAAGAAGAATGATAAAAAGCCCTGGCTGGTGTAGCTCAGTGGATTGAGCACCAGCCTGCAAACCAACAGGTCACTAGTTCGATTCCCAGTTAGGACACATGCCTGGGTTGCAGGCTAGGTCCCCAGTAGGGGGTCTGCAAGAAGCAATCACACATTGAAGTATGATAAAACAATATAACAGACTCTCTACCAAAATACAAATTATTTGGCAAAAGCTATAACTTATTTTTTTAAAGTGAAAATCCATTATTTAACTTTGGAAAATAATGATTAAATACCTGTTAATAAAGAAAGAGGTTAGATAACCTTTGGCCATAATGTTTTTACATTTAGATACAGTATCTAAACAGGATAATTATATGCTCCTAAATTGGAGTTCCAAGTGTGTTAGCTAAAAGGCAAAAAGATTTTCCAACTGATACTAGAGAGCTCAAAAATACAGATTATCACAGACTTTGATTGTATTAATATTCTATCTCCAGTGAAAGTTTACCTGGAATTTTAAAGACAAAGTGATCAGCTACTACTCGGCAGGTTCTGCCTTTTTGGATAAAAATTTTAGCCATGAAGTAGTAAAAATCTATGGGAATAGCTCCATGATAAAAAATTATAAGTGCTGGTCCTTCTGGTATTTTTTCCATTCCATGAACTTCATAACCTGTTAGGAAGACAAAATACAAATACTTAAAATATATTTATGAATTATTTAAACTAAAGGATGGTTACCAACTCAGAAACTCAGTCTTTTCTTACAAAAGGACGTGAGACTTCTGTTTTCCCTCCCCTCCTTTCTTGAACAAACCGGTCCTATAGGCGTCAGGGGAGCAGGGGGAAGCAAGCCCCTGTGTGTAGGGGGCAACCTAGAGTGAGTGCTGGAGCCAAGGCAGGGTGAGGACAGCACCGAGTGTACATTCCCTGGGCACCTGAGACACAAACAAGGGCCCACACTCACTGGCATTCCTCCACAGGCCTCAGTGGGTGCTCTCAAAAATGGTTAGGGCAAGGCAGGCGAGAGACCTAGGAGAGCCCCTGGTTACAGACTCCAAAATCCTACTCACTTCCTCACACTTTTCTTGGAAAAGCAAAACCTGACACTGGGAAAGGTGCAGGAACCCTGCCACCCCTTCTAAAGAAAGGGTATATACAAAAGGCATCTGATGCTGGAAGGGGCGGATCTTCATTTCCCTCCTCCTCTCTCCTGCCTCACCCCACCATCCTAGTTTCAGGCAAAAATTCACTATGTCTAGCGGAGAGTAGAAGCCAAGCATCTGCCACTGGAAGGTATAGAGTAGGCCCCGAGACCTGAAACGGCATAAAGCAGAGAAGTGCTACCACTGGAACGAGGGGCAGGAAACTTGCTACCAACCTCAAACCCCTACCTACAAAAGACAAGGTTTACTTGCCACAGAAGAGTGGAAGGAACACTGAGAAAGCATCACACTGGATGCCCAGGCACACAGGACCTGTGAAAGATCTTGGCTACAACAGCAATATTAAGGAGTGCCCCCACCACACCCATCCCCTCCACGCGCCTCACGTGGAGTTATAAACAAAGGCAGCCTTTTCCTGGGGAAGAAGCAGGAGCATGAAGAGAGAGCCCTTCTGTGTGGCAGAGGCATAGAGGATTGAGGGGCAGCAGGAGCATTGAGAAAAACCCTCTGGTGCTCTAGGCTGCACCCATGCACAAGATAGCAGCAGCAGGAGTTTCAGTCTGTGCTGAGCTGAAGGAAACTATACCTACAAAAACCCAACCCCAGTTCAACCACTGAGTGGACATAACCCCCAACCCCACTCACTAATGGCCTGGCAGAAAAAAGGATAATTTTCAGTGATAAATATTTACCATTACCTCATTCACAACTGTTATTCGTTTATCTATGTATCTATTTTTACAAACAATGCCCAAAATTCATTTTTAAAATTGTGGAACATGGCCCTGGCCAGTGTGGCTCAGTTGATTGGAACATTGTCCCAAACACCAAAAGGTTGCAGTTTCAATCCCCAGTCAGGGCACAACCCAGTCAGGTCGTGGGTTCAATCCCCAGTTAGGATATATGCCAACCAATCAATGTTTCTCTCTCACACTGATGCCCTTCCCTCTTTGTATCTCTGTCTCTTGTCTCTGTCTCTCTCTCCATCCCTTCCTCTCTCTCTAAAATCAATAAATGTATCCTCAGGAGGAAAAGCAAAAAAACTGTGGTACATAGAAAATAGTAAGAAAATATCCATTGTCAGGAGATTGTTTAATCAAGAGAACCAAGCCCAAATGTTTAAATTATCAGACAGTAACCTAAACTGATTACGGTTAATTTGTTAAAGGGTTCAGTGGAAAAAGAGGATGTATAACTGGATTTGAAATTTCAGCGTATAGAAGGAAAATATATAAAAACAATGAGTCAAATAAAAAGGCTTACATACTTAAATGAGATCAAAAGATTAGATGTAATATATCAATGGTAATTTTCTGATTTTAATGGTTTCATTGATATTAAATAGGTATCTTTAGTTACAGAAAATATACACTAAAAGTGTTAAAGAGGGCAGTGTAGGCACTTACAGTCAAATAATTAAAGAAAATAAGTTTTTTGTACAATACTTGTGATACTAATTTTTTTAAAGTCTATGGATAAAAAATTATCTTTTATGGAAAAAATCATGTAAGATTAGAGAATTATAGAAGTTATAAGGTAAAGAGACCTTTCAGGTTCCAAACTAACAAACAACTATCAGAAATTAAGACTATTTTTGGTTTTTAATCAAGGTTATCCAAGGAGTCCAACATCTCTGAAGCATCAAGCACACTTTACTGAATCTGCTAGCTTCTACAAAACAATACGGACCTTCCTGTGTAAGCTTGATATACAGTAGCTGCAAAGGAGTACACCATTCTACTCATTGCAAGCAGGTTGTGAAAGGTGTAAGGAAATGAGAAGATATAGGGGAGTGGGTGACAAAAGCCAGGGTAGGAGACATCAAATAAATTAAAACTTCCCTATGAGATAACACAACTAGAGTAAAATTTAAGAGTCATAAAATAATTCATTGATAAAAGTAGAAAAACTTTTAAGAGTGACCCAATGCAAATAAAACACAGTTAAAATAATATATACATGTGGATAACAATAATGCTGTAAATTTTTATGTTTATTTCATTCACAAATTATTCTTTATAAATTTCCCCCATTTTATTCTTTAAAAACAACAATAAGGTTATTGAATCTAACTACTACATGTTGGTGGGGGGGACTGTGGTCAAAGATTTGAACTGGATGTCAAGAAAACATCTCTCTAGTAATACAGGTAAAATTAGTGGCCCATGACATTCTTTTCTCTTCTTGCTACACTGTAAACCCTATTCCAAGTTACTAAAAACGGGAACAAGGGTTTCAGCAAGGGGAGCAAATGACAGAATGAAAAGGATGGTAGGTAGGAGGAGGGGAATTAGGCTTCCTTATAACTTAACCTCAGTTTAAGGGTGGCTCCCTGGCAGTTCCTTTTTTTCTCCTCCGCCAGCTGAAGAGATTAATATGCCTACTGTCCTCCAGCCTGCTACCAAACACCAACACAGTTTTAATAGCAATCCTGTGCTGTTGGTGGACTGTGGGGAATAGCAAAGATTTAGGGGAGCTCCACCTATTTTTCAGAGCAAAATACTCTTGAAAATTTTGTCACAGGAGTTGGGAACAGAAATTCCAAGGAGCAGGTGCACTGTGATCATGGCTCTAATCATAAAACTGCTTTTCCTTCCTGTCTCACCAGTCAGGCACAGCCTCAGATGGTCCTGGCAAAATAACAAACACAAAACAAACAAAAAAACCAAACAAACACTGAACAACCGATGAGTCAATATGAAAATCAAAAGAGAAATAAAAAGAAATACTTTGAGACAAATGACAATGAAAATGCAACATACTAAAACTTAACAGCATGCAGAAAAAGCAATTCTTACTAAGAAGGAAGTTCATAGCAATAAATGCCTACCTCAAAAAAAAGGAAAAATGTCAAAAAAACAACCTAACTTTATACCTCAAGGAACTATAGACTGATTATTAATAAGGAGATAGAACCTGTAATTAAAACCTCCCAACAAATAAAAGTCCAGGACCAGATGGCTTCACTGATGAATTCTACCAAACATTCAAAGAATTAATACCAATTCTCTCTAAACATTTCCAAGAAAGAAGAGGAGGAAACACTTCAAAACTTGTTTTATGAGGCAAACTTTACCCTGATACCAAAATCTTGGGGTGAAAGAACACAAGAAAAGAAAATTACAAGCCAATATCCTGAGCAACATAAATGAAAAAAAATCCTCAACAAAATGTTAGCAATCCAAATTCAACAATAAACACCATGATCAAGTGGGATTTATTCCAGATAAGCAAGGTTCAACATTCACAGATCAATCAACATGTTAAATTACATCACCAAAATGAAGAATAAGGTCATATGATCATCTCTAGAGATGCTGGAAAAGATTTGACAAACTGTAACAACCATTTATGACAAAAACTCTCAACAAAGTGGGGATGGAGGGAATGTACCTCAACATAATGAAGACCATACATGACAAGCCCACAGCGAACGTACTCAATGGTGAAACACTGAAAGCTCCTCCTCTAAGATCAGAAACAAAATGAGAATGCCCATCACTTTTATTCAATATAATTTTGGAAGTCCTAGCCAGAGCAATAAAAGGAAAGGAAAAGAAATTAAAAATGTCAACATTATAAAGAAAGGAGTAAAACTGTCACAATTTGCAGATTACATGAATATTATATATAGAAAACTCTAAAGACTTCACCAAAAAAAAACTGTTAAACTAATAAATTCAGTAAAGCTGAAGGCTACAAAATCAATATATTATACAAATATCTTTTGTATTTTTTACATTAGTAACAAGCTATCAGAAAAAAAAAGTTAAGGAAAAATCCCACTTAGAGTTGCATCAAAAAGAATAAAATACCTAGGAATAAATTTAACCAAGGCGATGAAAAACGTACACAGTGAAAACTATGACAATGATAAAAGAAACTAAAGATGACACAAATAAAAGAAAAAAACATTCTAAGTTCATGGGTGGGAATACTTAATATTTAAATGCCCATACTATCCAAAGTAACCTAGAGATGCAATGCAATTCAATTGCATTTTTCACATAAATAAAACAAACAATCCTAAAATTTGTATAAAACCACAAAAGACCCGGAATAGGCAACACAATCCTGACAAACAACAAAGCTTGAAAGCATCATGCTCCCTGATTAAAAAAAAATATTACAAAGCTATAGTAACCAAACAGTATGACACTGATATTTTTTTAAACAGATCAATGGAAGAAAACAGAGAACCCAGAAATAAGCTCACATTTTATGGTCAATTAATTTACAACAATGGATCCAAAAGTATACAAGCCTCTTCAATAAATGGTATTAGGAAAACTAGACAGACACATGCAAAAGAAGGAAAGTGGACTATTAGCCTACACCATATGCAAAAATTGACTAAAAATGGATAAAAGACTTGAATGTAAGACCAGAAATCATAAAACTCCTAGAAGAATATATAGGCAGTAAGCTTCTTGACATAAGTCTTGGCAATGATTTTTTGGATCTGACTCCAAAAGCAAAAGCAACAAAAGTAAAAATAATACAAAAA